GACTATCGATTAAATATAGGTTTTCACAAGGTTTCCGAATTTTTCTCGAAAAGCAACCATTGTCGCGCGATTCACTGTGGTCGATAATCTATGTTTCCATTCACTTTCATGATTACCATACCTAAGGGAATAGCGATCCTACGGCTCACAACAACGCCACACCCAAACAACGAAACATGTAGGCAATACTGTTCAAAATACCCGCGCGGTGAATTCTTCGCCATTGTTAGATTGCAGTATTTTACAAGGGCCGAATTGATAAAACAACGATGTCAGATGCTCAGCCACATTCTTAGCCTCTTTCGTCACGGTGCAATTTCTGAGGAAAATTTTGAGGAATAATCTCTGGTATGAAAGATCCATTTAGATGCACCATCCGATCTTGTTCTCAAACCAATCAGATCTATCTGTAATCGTGCTAAAAACCCAAGGGATACAATTGCTGTTCACATCACATGGTTTTTAACTAGTTTCATAATTTGACACGCAACACGTGTGGATAAATAGATGCTAACCACTATTGATGGAATCCAATAATAATGCTGTTTTACCTCTACTCTCATTTTATTCTCACGCATAACCGATGACAAACCGTTTTTGCAATCCTCAGCCTTGGCATAGAAAGTTTTTTCTGCATAAGATATATCACCTCCGATCACCACATGATTTCCTTGTGTTAAAATCAACCCACTGCGATTTTAAGAGCATTTAAGAGCACGACTAAGAGCATGTTTTCGTAAGCAGAAAATATTAGAATGTATTTTCAAAAACTGGTTTTCAAAGAGATTCCTGTAAAACTATTTCTTGACTGGAAAATTCGACATAGCAATATATCGATTTTTTTCATAAATAGATGGACTAAAGTACTTTTCGCAAAAGAGAACCTAAGCGAGAGCTTCATCTCTCATGATTACGCAGGGGACGATCCCTAGGATTGCCCTTCATTTCGGTCAATGAATGTCAGCAATACATGCAAACATAACTTTCAACAATGCCGAATCTCGTGGCAATATTTGTTCATTAAAAAGAATTTTAAAATCTAGTGAAAAAGAAATTCTTCAAAATCAGAATTTTCCGTCGGTTTTCACCTATTATTAAACAATTCACAATTCACTCAAAAGCTTCACCACGCGTACACAACTTCAGTATATAGTTAATTCTGTCCGCTAGACGTGATTACAAAATCGAAAAATAAAATTTCAAAAACACCTGTTTTCTAAAAACATTTCTTCTTTGTTACTTTGCCAAAAGTAACAAAGTTACAAATCTTTGTTACTTAGTTATTAGCAACAAGTACCAACTTCGTTAGTTGCTATTACTAACAAAGTAACAAACTAGCATCTATTATTACTAATTACTAAAAGAAGTAACAGTTTCGTTACTTGTTGGTAAACAGCCAGTCCTACTCGTGTATGGTCTGTTTTGTGGAGGATACTTTAGTCTGTCTATTCATGAAAAAAATCAGTATAGTGGTATGTCGAATTTTTCAGTCAGAAAACGGTCTTCCAGAGATCTCATTGAAACCGGTTTTGAAAAATATTTTCTGCTTACGAAAACATGCTCTTAACAGACGATTCGCGCGGAAAGCGAGTATTTTGCCAAACACGCGTTACATGCAAAAATTTGACATTTGATTTTTATTTGATTTTCAGATTTTACAGTCAAAACTGGGTGACGAAAAAAATTGTTCACTGCCAGACTTTATTTTGTCCGACAGAGTTTTCAAAATGAGGTGCATCGAAGAATCGTAAAAATGAGGATTATCTCATATTTCCGATATAATTCTGTCATTTTTCATCCGTTCTGTTCAAGCAATATTTCATTCGAGAGACCATCAAAAATTAAACAAAATAAGGTGCTCCCTGTTTTTCTAAACCCAATACTGATGGATGTTGTAAGAGGTTCATCAAGTGAAGGATTGTGATTTTCACATACAAATTTTTTCTACCGAAACCCACTTTTGGGCATCCAAAGAAAATTTGCCTAGAGATACGAAGGTGACATCAGATAGGAAATTCAGTTTCCTACAAACTGAGCTAAAATACTTTGTTTTAAAGCCCCTGCAACAGTTTGAAAAAACAAGATGGCATCGTTTTTTCAGTTTTTTTGAGATTTTTGACATCAAGACTTCATTCTAAAACAAAAATAAGGTAATATTTGGAATCAGCGTCAAAAATTGCACCAGACAATGTGCCTTTGAAGTTATTTAGAGACAAAAAGTTTTCGACACCTTTTTTCGATTGTCAGTTTCCAAGTCCGAGCGATTTTTACTCGAAAACTTTTTGTCTCTAAATAACTTCAAAGGCACGTTGCCTGGTGCAGTTTTTGACGCTGATTCCAAATATTGCCTTATTTTTGTTTTAGAATGAAGTCTTGATGTCAAAAATCTCAAAAAAACTGAAAAAACGATGTCAGTACACCCTGTCTTGTTTCCACGGCAACGTGCGTTTCCTGCGGTTTATTTTTACACACTCGCAGCTTCTTGAGCGTTATTTGTCGAAACTCGCTCAACGCGTAAAATTTTTCGTAAACAGACTTTCCTGCGCTTTTCTGGAATGACTAAGACTGACTGGATATCATATATTTAGGTCGGTCGTCATCAACTTAGAAAATTTCATATGCCTCATCAAGCACCAAATTATCAAGATCATGATTTTCCTACTGAGGCGAAGATAACACCAACTGTTTATATGGAGATTCGACATCATTTGCGTTCACAAAGCCATGATCGACATAAGCGCGACGAACCCTTCTGCAAAAAGGAGTTCACGTTGATGCTCTGAATTACTTTTGCTAGATACTTGGAATATAATTATAGTAAGTAATATTTTCTTTTAGAACATAATCTTTTGTCAATGTTATAAAATAATTTTCTTTTTCAGCCTGACACTCATAATGGAGAATATATAATCAACTGCTCAAGTAATACCAATATTCGTACGTATTCAAGTCAACATCATTATTCTATTAGTGAATTGTATATAAATAATTTATCCGATATAGTAAAACTTCATCGAAAATTTGGAAAGTCAGTTCTAATAGTAACTTAGTAAACATAGTAAATGTCCTGATTCTAAAAACGATTTAATAGCGAATACGTACAGCTTTGGCTTGTTACGGTAAGATATGAATTTTGACGTAATACTAATAAATCACTATTTCTCCAGATCTAGTCGTTCTAATCCTGTTGGCCATAGAATGGCTACTCTTTCTAAAAAATCAACAGAACTGGTTTTAAAAGCAAACTTAACTACCAGTTTAACACAAAAACTTAATCGAAATGCAGCCAATGTTGGATTAATACGATATTGGAATTGCCATAGGTAAATACAAAGACAAAACCTTTGACCAACTACAAACATTTATACGTTATACTTCACTTAGATGTCACACAAAGGTGTGACACAGAAGGAAAACTCATTCGATTTAATTCACGAAAACCATTCTTAGCGTAAAGTTTAAAACTTTTAAAAGTAGAACTTCTGATGAAATATCTCGAAAATTGGTTTTAACAGCAGCTTTTGGACAACAGGAAGAAAAGTATGCATCCCGACTGGGAATCGAACCCAGGACAGTGGTATTCATGACCATTGCTCTAACCGCTGAGCTATCGAGAAACACTCTTCGATACACACATTTCTTCCTTTTGTGGATACACTATACACTATTAAATAGTGACTAATGAGGATTTTTACTTCCCGGCATACTCGATGATAAAATCTGTTTGCGTAAAGTAAAAATCCTCATTAGTCACTATTTAATAGTGTATCCACAAAAGGAAGAAATGTGCGTATCGAAGACTGTTTCTTGATAGCTCAGCGGTCAGAGCAATGGTCATGAATACCACTGTCCTGGGTTCGATTCCCACTCGAGATGCATACTTTTCTTCCTGTTGTCCAAAAGCTGCTCTTAAGCACCAATTTTCATAGAAAACTTAGCTCTTATAGTAAAACTCTCATTTCGAAATATCTCGAAGCTTGCAGAAACAGTAGTAATGTAGGAGAACCACTCTACGCCGGTCTGAAAAAACTTGAAAAGTAAACAAATTTATTTTGTATAATTTTTATTTACAATTGCAAAAGCAAAACAGCTAAACTAAAGCTCCCAAAAATTAATGTGTAAGACGTGTGTTAGCTTCTAAACAGTAGTTCATCTTCTATCATCGATATGCTTCTATTTGCAACATTATCTAGAACCATCCACCACCACCACCACCATATCCGCCGTATCCCCCACCATAGGGAGCTTTAATCAAGGAGGTCCGATAGCGGAACAGGATTGACCACAACAGAGCAAAACTGCATAGAGTGCTCCGTCAGACATCCAGTCAAATGTTTTTGTTTTTCTCGCATTTGTATGAATCGTTTTATTCCTGTAGTGCACAGTCGCTTCGCAGAATCTTAGTTTGTTTGTTTGTTTGTTTATTTATTGCTAGTTTATTGATTCAGTTTCAGCCGTCTAACGATAGTAAACTGTCAATTCTGTATAAAGAAATGCGAATTTTTCTCCTATGGCTGACTACACACATGTGTTATCTGAACTCAAATAAAACAATCTTCTTTCTTACTCTCGTTACTATGTATGTATCTTGGTTTGTAGTTGCATTTTATAGGTTGTTTCTCGGTTTGACTAGTAAAATATGCTAAAACTGCTTCTACTGCTTTCGCTGCTCTTAGGAATAAATATACCTAAACTGTACGAACATTTTACGACATAATAATTTACATTAAGTTTTGGATATGATCATTACTAACCGTGGAAAAATGTTGTTTCCTAATGCGCTCTCAATCCGAATGGAATGGAATAGACTGCTCCTTCATGATAATGCTTCGAAGAAAAGAGAAACTAAACCTTCTTCTGAGTTGGCAAAAACAGTGTTTGAAAGACAAAACGTCTCTCCAAACAACATTTGCACTGTAAACGTTAAAATCTTCTTTAACCGATGGTGGTCTTACCAAAGCGGACAAAGCGGAGGGAGACCCAAAAATGACAATTTTTATCTAATGTCCTTTACAGATGCTCTCATAATCTCCTCCGTAACCTCCATAACCTCCTCCATAACCAAAACCACTACCATATCCACCATAACCACCACCTAGTGCACCAGGAAAGAAATTGGAATTAATTTCATTATTCAAATACTGGTTAACACCAGTTGTTGCTACACTATTAAAATACCCTACAAACAAAATGCATTAGTTATAAGATATGTAAACGACACCAAGAAGGAGAGTGGTGTAGAGGCAGAAACGTTTTTACTCTGCCACATCAAAGAAGGACAGCTGGTTTTCTAACTTCAAATGCAAAACTCTAGTAGAATAGTGTATTGGTCAAACGAACTAATTTTTACTGTTTAAACTTACCATTGCCTGGTATGAAGTTATCAACAAGACGATCAGCAGCATTATCAACAAATGCAGCACCAATATTACCAAACAAACCAGCCATGTTTCGTCTCTGTTGTTTTTTGTGCTTATGTGAGTATAGAGAGAATGTTTTTACCCTTGGTCTTGTTTTCTTAAATACCTATTTAGGTGTATATAAAGGTTTTGCTATAGAAATGCCTCATTGTACTGTTTAGGTGGTAATGTAGGCACGTGTCAGCTATTATTCTTTATTAGTAAAGGATAGGAAAAGAAAAGGAGTGAATAGAATAACATATTGAAGAAAATATGATAATACGCCATATTGATTCTATTTGCTTCATTCGTACTTCTCGAAGAAAATTTAGTAATTCAAGCGTCACGCACAATAATAAAAAAGTGCACGTGATTATGATATGCCAATTACCAATTAATACACGTACTAAACATATTCTATGCAAAGCTTCACGATCTGTTGTAGCATAAGCATGACTGGATGCTGCATTTCTAGTAAAATATGTTCCAGCACTAAGCAGCTTACCTTGTCGTCTACCATAACTTCGATTAAAACATTCATCTTGTATACTTTGAGCAGCAACAACACAACCATGAAATAACCATTGCACTGCATTTTCATTCAAACGTTCTTGAGATTCTTGTTTATGTGCACAATATTGTTTATACCACGACGTTGGCTTTTGTATTCAGTTTTAATTCTTGCTCACCAGGAGTGGGAGGAGCGGCAGCAGACGTACTCTTCACTGAATATTGTGGCATTGTTGCACATAATGTATCTAAAACAAATGTATGTTCTTTTGATGTATGTCTTTGATGAATACGAGTAAGCTCATCTTTCCCAATAATGATGTAGTGTGTGATGAATCCGAACAACATATTGTGATGGTGTCTGCTACTAATGTGCAAAGTCAAATAAGTGTTCTTATTAATATTTGATAAATTCATTAAGTTTATCTACTGTTGCTGATTGAGGTTGATTCAAATCATTCTCATTTAATTCTTGTTTGCATTGGCGACAGGCGAAAATATCTTTTGATATGGTGATTTAATGAGTTTCCACCATTTTTTCTGAGTTGTAGGTCCTCGAACATGATCTGTATCCCAAAAAACTCACGTGCCAAAAGTTGTGCTAAGATTTTGGTTTTCTATTCGAGGAAAACTCTAAACTAGTTTTCGAAAACTAGTCACTGAAACTACATCTACAAGTTTTTAGTTTCGTTTTCTGGTGTTGTTGAATGTTTTGAAACAATTGTTTCTTTTATTTTGGATGGATTTTCTATAACGCCTCGTCCTATTTGTCTGATATAATAACCATTGTAGCCGTAGCATTCATACCCATAGGCAACTTTACTCTCACTAATACGAATGTCTGTACAAAAATAGATACTCTTCAATGTATTGGATTTCATAGAACTGCAGTCAATTGCAAAGAAATGTGCTACTGAATGAATTGGATTTCAGTTGTTTTGGCTTTAAAATCAAACGCAAGGTTTACGTATTGATTTTTATAGGGGTCCTATGAAAAAGAATGTGTATGATAAAAGGTTTTTTTCTCAAAATATTCTGACATATCACTTATTATACAAATAGACACATGTTTATTTAGTCTTCTAGTCTCTGTTTCTCTCTCCGCTTTGTTGTTTTTGTTGTGAAAATTTTCTTTCGTTTGCCTCGTTCTTGTATAGAGTGAAATCAATCAGCAAAACCATTTATTTTATCTCCTTCAGTTCTTTTAAATGCACGTTTAGGCAGTAACTACCTATGCACATATGCCTATGCAATGTTCGCATTTTAATATGCCAATTGCCAAAAAGAACCTGGTAAGTGGTACGAAATTGCTTGAACAAAAATAGCGAAGTACAATATATCTGATTCTAAAGATTTAGTCAAAAGAACGATAGATGAAATCGACAGAACCGTAAGTAAAACCAGTAGCTTCCTTCTGCTTTGAAATAAAGATATAATAAGTGAAGGTATTTTAAAGACAAAAGCCATTAGACACTTGTGAAGGTTTCCTTGTAAGAAATATTTTCAAAAAGTGACCAAAATTCATATGTCGTACTAATCACTGCAAACAAAATTTAACAGTTAAAGTTGAAAAATTTTACTGGTTATTCGATTTATTTTCAGATTTATTTTAATAAGGGATGGGATACGTGATCGCGCAGTAACGACGATATAATTATTATTACAAAGTACTATTGATTAAAAAGATTAGTTTACTTATTGAAAATAATTGATTCCCTATAGTGTAGTACTATTATTTGTAATTGACTGATATAGAACTTTTGAATGTACCGCTATTAACGGAAATTGTTAATTAGCGGAGGTAAACGTGATCTAATACCAAAGAGAAATACATTTGTTTTTTATAGTGACAAGTCATTTATGTAGCTTTAAGTTTTAGATTTTCGGATGAATTATATTTGAATATTTGAAATTTTTATTTTACACAAAGGTAGGATATCACAAAAAAGCACCAAAAGGACTTGTGGCATCCGGAGACACCTCATGATAACCTAAACTAAAAAGTTTCTAAGAAGAATCGCTACTATAACACATACATTG